GGGGGGTTACGTGGACAGGCAGGGCAGTGACAGAGGACAGCCCGTAGAAACTGAGAGGCTGCAAGTAAGAGCACAACAATAGAGTGACTCGGAAAAAAGTGAGAGCAGCGAGCAAAAGAGGCCTTGTGCCTCCTGCAGCCCAGTGTGTCCCCCTGAAGCTGCGCAACCAGGCAGGAAATCAAAACTGGACAGCCTGAGGCTCTGGGGGGCTACTGAGGCTTACACAATGCTGTATGACTGAGAACACACTGACAGACAACTTGCACATTTCTAAACATCACTTAAAATGTTGCATAACCTACAATTTACAAGATGTGCACAAACTCCCACACTATCCAGACACCCACACTGGCACAAATAATTCCAGAAATTCCAGATCATAGAACAACAATTGTAAACAAAGACAAAGCCGACAGCACGTGGGGTGCAAATGTGTGCATGAACACTGTGTGTGTGTGTGTGTGTGTCAAGTCTGTTCAGTTAAAGGCTAGGGTGTGTATCCGTGTCCGCCCCTCCTGTGCCCTTGTTTTTGCAATTCTCACTTTTCGGAGGAGAAAAGGCCTCTGCTGACACAGCAACATAGCAGAGGGCTGGCCTGTGGCTCTCTAACCAGCATGCATTTCTGCCTTCTGTTTACCTTACCTTACATAATGTGAATAAATAAGCAGAGCTTGTCAATACAGACACTCTGCCCTCAGTGCTATGGATCATGAATAAAGATAATTTTGAATATGGAAACAAGAATGTGACTTATCAGTTTAATGGTTGTTGTTTTTCTTACCTCTTTGACAAGATGTTTGACAGGTCTAAGGCCTCCACCCACGCCCCACACATTATCGAGACGAACCATCTCCCTCTTCATGGTCAGCAGCACTTCGGCACGGTCTAAAGCCACTCTGAAAAAGGAAAACACCAAAATATTATCTGCACATAAATGGGTGGACATAAAGTCTAGTTTTTTTTGTAAGCTAGAGTGAGTTACCCAATTTAGCACAAAGCTCCAAAATAGCCAAGATAACACCACAACACCAATGTTTTATTCCATTTAAACATGATTTGATAGGAGGAGGACATCTGCTCCTCATAAAACGTGAAAAGTAGAAGCTTTTCCCAACACAGGGAAGAGGAACGTTTCAGTTGCATCTGTAACCAGCTTTTTGCTCAAGGTGCGGTAAAATTAACTAAAGAAAGGCTTAAGAAATCTTACAACTGTTGCAAACAAGGTTGATTTTTTTTTTTTAAAAGCTACTGTATTTGCATTTAAATTGCACTCGTCTCAGCTCACCTGGCATGGTCACAGTCCACTTTTCCCTTGTAACAGTCCAGGAACGACATGGGGAGGACGTGGTCTGCTATGGCTCGGGCTACAAACTGGCCCAACATCTGTGAGACATCAGAAGAAAAAAACCAACATCAGAATGCACGTCCGCATCACATATTTTAGTAGTCCAATAAGTTCAGCAATATGACAAAATGAAGAGGTCTACCTGCGGAGCCTCCGGTGTATCCAGTATCAGGTCTGGCAGCTCTTTGAGTATCTTGTCAAAGGCGCGGGCCATTTCACTTTGTGACAGCATCTTGCCCGACAGATCAGACAGCAGGCGGGAGGTCAGCTCTCTGTGGCTGGCTTTGCCTTCCAGGGACAGTGCCACGGCCAGGGAGGAGAACTCGAACTTATGCTGGCCCAGGTTGAGTCCTTTCAGCAACATCTGATAGGTAGGAAGGACAAATAAGACAATTTAAGATACTACAGACTCTAACCAGTACTGTTAAGTCATCTAATGATCTGTGCACACAAGCCCTCCATTACTTTGTTCATCCGTCGATCAATTCTCTAAACTCGCTCATTCCTGGTCTGCATGCATTCAAGTGAAAGGAAGAGGAAACGCTTCATTTGAAATCATTTACCTGGACCTCTTTGGTGTCTCCATGTTCAAAGTACTCCTGTACAATTGGGTTGACCATTTTTTCCAGTTCCTTCTCATCTACCTCGGGCACAACTGTCGCATAAACCGTGTCCCCCTGTGCAAGAACAAACCCATTGTCAGTCCATCCATATACACACATATGCCCAGTCATTATAACGAGCTGTTGAGTACACCTATACGTTTACACTATCAAGGTTTTACATTCATGTGCAATCCAAGTCTGAAAAGTTATAACATGGATTAATAATTTCAGATCAATATCACCATAAGATTTATTTTGAAAAGTGGTGTCTGTCGCCGTTCTGTTCTTCTGTTATGATATAACAAACTTCTCCCTTTCATCTCAACGTTAGCATTAGCAAATGCCAAGAATGTCGGTCAAAACTGGTCCGACCAACTTTACAGGCGATGTTTTGATTACCCTGGAGAACAATGGAAGCATTTATGAAATAATAATCTCAGCAAAGATATAAAACAAAAAGTTCCTACAAACTATATCAGGAGAATAACTTTTTTTAATTTTTAAGGGAAAAGCTGGCTCCAATTGTAAGTCCAACAGCATAAAAAATAATTACTCAATTGTCTTGACCTCTTGTAAAAAGCCGTTTATTTAACAAGCAAACCAATATCACTATAAAGAAGGGCTGTAGCCAACAGTCAAAAACGCTTATTCACGTTCCTGCTTCCTGCTCATGGTGTGTGATTGTGTGACTGCAGGAGTTGATGGGAGAGAACCAAAACAATAATTTATGGCCAAGTACAGGCTAAAGACTGAACCTGAATGCAACATCTCTTAATGATACTTTAACCAAGATTTGATCAAAAGGTGAGTAAAGGGAGCATTCTCAAGCACATTATAGTTTCCATTACATGGATACTGAGATTATTTTCACATTTTCTCATGTATAAGATGGCCTGTACCATTCAGAAATCCTTCATCAGGTGATCCCCTCAGTCGGATTCAAAGGGGCACCGTCTGCACATGTCCCGTGAGCTTTTCTGTACCTCTCTGTCCCAGTTCCCATTCAACACACTGACGGACATCTCTCCACTACTCTCCTACGACATTCAAGGACAAATCGCACTGGCTTTTCTGAGCTGTTCCCAAAACCGATATCAACTATTTGACTGACAGAAGCTCCATTCCCACTCTGCATTCAGTCAGCCTGACCTTTACAGGAGACTAACAAACTCGGCCTTCAGCAGCGTCACACAGAGCATTTGCTTGATAATGGGGTTAAAGATTAAAAAAAAAATACTGTTGAATGAGCTGGGACGGAGCCACCGGGATGAAACATTCATGTGAGCGGGTGAGTTTTTAAATGAGCTTTGGTCAAATCATGTGAACTTTTATATATAAAACAGTATTTTTCCAACAGTTTAATAATAATAAGTTATAATAAATCTTTTATCACATGCCGCCCAAGGTATTACAAGCTATCAAAAGAGTTTGATTCATTAGATTGTTGTCCGAGTGAGGACAATCATCTGGTTTACAGAGCAACGCCTCTTTTATATTTAGTGGGTTTCAGCAGCAGCCCCTTCAACATCAGCACGTTTGTTTAACACAAGAAATAAAAGGTGTCAGCTTTGATCGATGGGCCTCTTTGGAACAAAAAGCTGCTCCGCACAACAGGTCGAACGCAACAACAACTGTGATAAACCAACCTCTGCTGGTGAGGCTCTTTCATCAGTGGCATACACAGTTCAGAGTATGTACAGACTGCTGACGGTCAGGTGATAGAAACATTTAGAAAATAAAGGACCAACTTCCACAGCGGAACATAATTGTTGGTTGCAGGCAGCCTGACTTTAGTGACAAAAAAAATCACTTAAAAAAATGAAACAAAAAAAGCAGAGAAGCTATGTTTTTTGTTTGAGTCCCAACTCTTTCAAAGAAATATGCATATTATTAACAGTCCATGTCTGCTGTACCCACTCACCTGAGCAGACTCATCGTAGTTGGGGTCCCGCACATCAGGCTCCTCATCTTCATAAACCATCCCAGCAGCCCCCCAAACTCCTTTCCCACCTGCTCCACCTGCATACAAACCATAAAGGCATGTTCACCTATGTGATTGTGGGAAAAGAGCCATGGCCACAAACACATTTGGTGCAGGGATTGAAAAGCAGGTCATGCAACATTTCCAACTAAACTAATTGCTGTCGTCAACAACAATCAGTACATGTGCACGAATCGCAGGCACCAGAAATTGTCACAGCTTCATGAGCAGAGTCTAGAAGTATGCTAATCAATGTCGTTTTCGTTAACTGCTCAACAAGAAAACAAAGTAAGCCCATGTATTAAGGATATAGACAACGTGCCCATCGTTGTTCTCTTCCCTGCTACTGTAAGAAAGGCTGTGCCAGCTTCCCAAAAAAAGCAGAAAGCTGCATACACCAGAGTAGTTCAAATGTACCTTTTTTTGGCAGGCCTCTGCCTTTACCCGTCCTGGATTTGCGGTCACTGGTGTTGACTTTGCCCTTTGGACTGTTCGGGTCAGTTCCTGACACTTCTCCTGACTCAGAGAAGGACTCGCTGGTGGAGGTGCGTGACGAGGACTTGCGCAGGCGGCGCTTGGCTTTGGCTTTGAGTCGAGCCTCGTGGAGCGCTTTCTCCTGTGGAGTCCAGTTGCCGTTCACCTCCGCCTCATTCAGCAAGTCATCGTCAACGCTGTAGGGATGGTTAGCCTCTGCCAGGTTGTCGTCGAAAGAGAACGCCCCTGTGATCAGAAAAATGGAACAATTGATTAATAATACCGTTTGGATTTTCAACGGGACTGTAACAAATACTGCAGAGGAATTTTGCCATTATACTGTCATAAAAACATTTTATTTGACATCATTGGACACTAGTAACGTATACGATATAGCTCAAAGTTTGGGGAAGACTCTATCTGCCTTTAACATGACAATGTTCACACAATAGGACAGAACTTGTCATTAGTGGACCTATCTGATGCCCTTGTGGCTGAACGGGAGCAAACCCTTGCAGCCAGTTTCCAAACTCTTGTGGAAAGCCTCTCCAGAAGAATATAGGCTGTTATACATTCAACCGTATGTATGGGTTTATGGTGTCCACATAGTGTTTGCCACATAGTGTTTGCCATGTAGTGTGCATCTATATCTTTAATTTCACTAGAGCGACACGAGTCCCAGAAACAAAACATATTAGAAAACATGTAAACCACACAAATAAGAAAATCCTGATGGGATACTGAGTAATAATATGTGAATCTATTCTATTATAGATTAGTACAAACAATAATCTCAATAATAATTAAAATCGTATTTACATTGGTAAATTTATTTCAGACGCATGCCATTTTTACAACTGTAAACTGTAAAAATAATGAAACTGTTGGAGCTTTGAGACAAAAACCAAGACTGCCTGTACACCTAACACGGTTAATGTCTGCCAACACATTGTTGCCGTTGTGGTGAAAAGACACGGTACTGTTCTGCATTTTGTTGCTGTACATGCAGAAATATGACTCGAGGATTTGGTTTGCACCAAATGGCTCACAACAGTCAGACATGTTTATGGTGTTTGTCTCAGGCTTATCTACGCTGCAGCACATTACAGATCATATCAGGTGTATTTCAAAAACTGCACCACACCTTTACACCGCAGCAATACCGGCTCAGGGCTTGAAAACAATGCCTTCTGCCTGCGTTTGCTACAGCCACCTCCATATGCCAGGGCCATGTTTTAGGCACACATTAAGCCAAACAAAAAGGCCTTAAACATTAAACACGAGACTGGCAGCACATACTCATGTTGTCTTGCAACACTCACCAGCTCCATCAGCAGCTGCTGTTAAGTTTAGGTGTGACATTTAGTGTCAAGGAACTGCATATACTATTCTATAGTGAGTGTACTGAAAACACTGTTGAATGTAACAAAACATCTGCCCAGGTTGCTTCTTGTAGGTACTGAGACAACAACAACATCATGTGGGACTGGAGTGTTCCCGCAGGCACGGGAGGAGGGAGGGAGCAAAGTGGAGCACATGCTGGAGAAATGCTTACACCACATTTTTTATTATCATTCCTGTCTTCTCGCGATCTGTCTGCAGCAGCCAGGACGTAACTACATATGGCATGGTTGGGTCCATGACTGGTCACATGGCCAAGCAGTAGGAGAGAAGGAAAGCAGGAGGAGGAAGAATGTCTGGGAGTGTAATGAATACTTAGAGTGCTTATGCATGTGCCCAAATGGCAGTAAAAGGAGTTATGGCCCTGTAGATTACAGGACATGTGGAACACACACACACACACACACACACACACACACACACACACACACACA